ATTGAAGCAAATAAATGCAAAATGATGTCGCACACATGATGATTTGCATCCATGACGTCTTGGGGTACCCTGGTTTCAGACTGCCCCCATTGGGTGTGAATCATTTTGTTCGTGGATCTACAATGTCGATCAATGGTGGAAGAGAAGTGCATCAAGGTTTTTTCAGTGTTTAGTATTGGATCATATTGGATCTATTTATTGTTGGGGTTGGATATATTATATGGATTTATATGGGATCTAATAGATTATATGGGATATATATATATATATATAATTATATATATATATATGTTGGAGATATTATATGGGACACATTGTTGATGTATTTTGAATTATTGTATATGTGATATGTGGGGGAATGGCTAATGTTGCTTCAGAAAATGCAGGGATCATCATTGTGGAAGCTCGAACAGAAACATTACCCGGATAGGATGCGAGCTGACCGTAACATATGCTTATTTGCCAACGTCAGGTTTTTGTAAGTATGTATGGTCATTGCTAAGTGACAATATATGATATGTGATGATTGGCCATCCTAGTTGTGAACATGTCTTCTGTGACCAAAACACATTGGACATGCCTCGGCTATATATAGATGTGTCAAGGATCAAAATCTGCGGCAGGTTTTGATGTGCCTCCTTGGGTTAATGGTTATGGCCAAGAATGTGGTGGTCCACAGGCCGGAAATCGGTACGGAAAAACCCAGGTGAGTTGCCTTTTTTTGTTTGGATTCCCAGCTTCTCGAGGACTTCTTGAGGACTCCTGCAGGTATTCTTTGGCTATGAGTATTCAAACCTGGCAATGAACTCCTTTGTTGATATTCAATCTACTTGTAGATGAGGTTCCATTGCCATGTGGATGGTGAGAGGCCATCATCTTCATTGGTGGCCAAAGATATCGCTACCAATGGAAGGTGGCTACGGCGTGGGGCGGGGTTTGATGCGGGGATACCATTTACTGAGCTGGACCGCTATGGATCGAAGCGTTGTCTGAAAGAGACTTTCGTATCAGCTTGTGATGCCAAATGTGAGTTCCAAGAATGGTGCGCTAGGAAAAGGATTACCTCGTGTGGCCATCCTGGACAGGTGGTTGTTAACGCAGATACTGATGAGAATGGCTGGCAATACGCCTTTGTCGTGGCCTCGGCTTATGAGAGGATGGTTCGAGCTGTTTCATGATGAGATTGTTGCGAAAGTCCATGAATTGAGATGTATGACGGTGATCACGCACAATCCTGGGAGAGATCCCTTCGATGATATAGAAAATGCCTTACGGGGGGTAAAGGGTGTCAACGATGACATACTACCCATGTTGCTACTTCTTCCAGTGCTAGTCACTAGTCGCCAGGATAGCGTTGAAAAGACCAAGATGCTGCATGGTCTTTGGGCACTTGGTGTTCTGACCTGCAAACGGCCAAGGCCTTCACTCAAGATGCCCAATGGCGGCATACCATGGATACGGTCACTCGTTTGGAACCATATTTAGATGGGAAAAACCACGTTTGCATGTGAATCTTGTTCTCCCATGTTCTCCCCATTTATGGTTCAATCCGGATTTTGGTTGCTTACCCTCTGGTAAACTAACATAGCTATGGAAAATCACCATTTTCAATGGGTAAATCCATTATAAATCACCATTTTCAATAGCTATGTTAAATTGCCAGAGGGTACAACCCAATTGTTGCTTTTAAACTTTCATGTTCTCCTGTGTAAAAGACCATGTTTGTCGCTGTAGCCAAATCCCCATGGTCGTTGGTTGAAATCCCACGTTGGTTGGCGATATGAATTAATCACCAAATTTGATGTCCCAATTTTTGCTGCTTGAACCACCAAATTTTAGTTGTTTACTGTAACTTTGGTTAACTCCCCCATTAAGATTTCTTAAATCACACATTTTACTTGCTTTAATTTCAACACCCTTTTTCTCTTGGTTAAAACCAGCATCTTAGATCACGATTGTTTGTTGATGAAATCACATTCCCATTTTTGTCCTTGAAGCTAAAATCTCCATTTGTTGTTTGAAGCACGCATTCTTGTTGGCCGTCGCTAAGTTCCGAATTTCTTACCTACAGTACATAAATCATGAGTTTTCGTTGCTCAAATCCCTATGTTTGCATATATCATCATATTATCATATTGATGATTGCTGGTTTCACATATTTTTCTCAACCCTACTAGGCCCTACTTCAGATGATGATCCCCAATTGACCAGCGTATCTTTTTCAGGGCTCAAGCACCGAGGTTCAAACCTGGGTACGCCGGCGTCAGCACCACGGCCGATGTGTGGCCTTGGCCGATGCCGAGCCGCTTGGATTCAATCGATTCAACCACTAGGGGGAATCTTAACAGATTTCTTAACCATGTCTTGCTATTAGGTATTTAGATGATTTTAGATGTATTTGGTATGATGTGAACATCCATATTATTGACTATATGTTCATACGATTGGACATTTATCCGATGACATATCATTATTTCATCTTAGTTCCCCTAGCCCCATAATGCCCCATATAGAAAATATTGTTTGATGTTCAAATTACCCATATGTCATGCTTAAATCATCTCAAAACACACAGGATGGTGCCCCCCAGTTATAAGTTGGTTTATAAACCCCATTACCTATAGTTATATCTACCATAAACCATAGTTATGGGAGTTATAAACCAACTTAGCTAACTATGGGGCACCACCTTGCATGTGTTTCTTCTGTTTTTTGCTTAGTTCTTGCCAGCATTTCTCGCCCACCCACCGGCAGGACGCCGCCCTACGCGGAGGATCGGCCCGAGCAGAGCCAGGGCCTCCAGGCACCGGTGGAGTCGTCCTTGACGGAGAACGACCAGAGACCTGGCATAAAAAATCACGACGGACATGTCAAATGGGGATGGGTCAAAACCCTGGTAACCTACAAGGTGGTGCCCCATAGTTAGTTAGCTAAGTTGGCTTATAACTCCCATAACTACGGTTTATGGCAGATATAACTATACTTAATGGGGTTTATGAACCAACTTATAACTGGGGGGCACCATCCTGTAGTGAACCCCAAGTCATAGCTGGGATTTATGGATGTTCATCCCACTAAAAATGGTATTAATAGGTATTGATCCATACCCAAATGTGTGGTTCTTCTTGTGTTTGATGTGTTTTTTGGGTGGGAAGAAACCAAAGTATGAATAAAGATTGAAACCCTTGAAACATGGATATATATATATATATATACACATGAGATTTGATTAACAACAGGAATATACAGGAATATGATTTTTGGGAATTTCTGGGATTGTCCAGAAACGGGGATTGCTGGCAATGGGGAATTTACAGGCAAAAATATTTGATGTATGATAGTCACCCCAAAGACAGACATGTAATCTGCCACTATGTCAATAGGTTTTTACTTCTCTAATCATTTTGGGATCGCATGTAAATGGCCATGCAAATAGATGATCGGCGAATATCAGTGATGGAATTGAATTGATCAGAACCTTTATTGGCATTCCTTCTGTCTGTGAGGCTGAATCGATATGTGAAGCTCTACCTCTCGATTCGCAATGATGCGGTTTGGATGAAGCGGCCGTTTTTTCCTGGGGGTTGCGGCGAGCAGTGGAATTTATGACCATGCTTTGCGTAGACAGGGAAGTTTTTCGACATACCACGATGACACAGATTTGACTATCCCTCCGAAGAATAGCTAGAGCTGGCTGCAAACCATTATTTTATTTTTTAACAACAAGCTTGTTGGGGAGGTTGACACCTACAGCTTGTTGCACCTCACATATGCGTGAGAGTGACTTATTGTGGGCGGTTCAATGTTTAATGAGCCAAGCGGGGGTTTGCCATTCCTTGAAAACTCCACAATGCATTCGATGTGAGGGTCTATTCTAGATGATACTTCATGAGCAAAGTCATTGAATGAAAATTATTTGAAATAGTCTAACATAGTCTAACAATGTCTAAACCATGTTCTTACATAATGATTTATCATTTCACTTCTCCGCAAGCCTCGTAGTACTGTTTCTCAGGACTCTCATCCCCACTGGTCAGTGCAGACAAACACCTGACATCACCTGGCTTCGAACCTAGGATTTTACCATCTGGTTGGTGGTTTGGAACATGGTTTATGACTTTCCATATATTGGGAATGTCATCATCCCAACTGACGAACTCATATTTTTCAGAGGGTTAGGTATACCACCAACCAGATTTTACCACATTTTACCTTGTCTTATCCAGGACATCCAGAATGACGTTGAATCATTCGAATCATTTCGACTCTGTTTCATGTCCACAGTCAGAATCTTTAGCCATTCCGGTTGTGATGGGATGCAGCACAAGTTGTGATCCAAAACGCTTGGTAATTCATGATTCGATTGGGATTGACACTTGCTTCTACTGACTGTTTCAATCGAAATTTGATGAACTGTTCATGTTTGAAAAACCACGTAAATCCGAGATCAGGAGAACCCCCGCCCAAACATTCAGGTTGACTTTGTTCTCAGCATGTTGGAGAAGCACAAGCTGCTTGATTGAAATCTGAGCCCAGCTGCCGAAGATCACTCGTATCTGCCAATAACAGTGACCTTAATTCATGTGTAAACACGATCCGAACAACTCTATGATGTGTGTACATGTCATGAATATATCATAGTCATTCATAATCATAATCACTCATATCTACCTATAACAATACAGAGGTTTCAACCTCCTTGGCAGTGCTCACCGGTCCCCTAGATCCGTTGCGTTCAACGCATCCGTTGCGCATCGTTGCGCCGCGACACGGAGGAACTTGATCACCTGGAAGGACCGAGACATTTCGTCCATCATGGCGTGGCTCTTGGCGATTCTGCTGCTGATCAGTTCTCTCATCCCCACCCGAGTGCCGTGGCCGTGGCCATGGCATCATATGGCATCTCCAAGCCGGGAAGTTGCTTGGGGTTTTTTGCCTATGGTTGGTAAATCTCCTCAAGTGGTTGCCTAAGTACACTGTAATGACAGGAAATAACAAGGTTCAAGCATGAACAACGGTGAAAAACGAAGGGTTCAGCCACTTAAGTGGTGGAGTTAACTATGGAAAATGGTGAACAATTGTGATTCAAACATCCAAATCATGGATTTAACTATGAACAAATGATCAAACATGGTGCTTTAACCAACGAAATTGTTGATTTAACAAACACACATGCTGAAAACACAGGCTTTACTGTAACAATAAAAAACACGTTGAAAAGCTGATGATTTTAACATATTTTAACCATCTACATTTGGATTTGACTCTCAACAATTACTGGTTGGTGGTTGACATCCCCCGATTTTACTTGGGGGGGATTTGGGGATCATCATCCCATGTCTATGGTTGACACAAAAAAAATGCAACCACCAACCAGCATATGTTTTTGACATACAAATCCCCATATGTTCTGCCCTGATATTTGTGTATAGAAGGTGGGTGCTGTGTATTTCCCTCTTCAACCAAATACAATGTTTTATTCTGCTTGATCAATGGACTTAGCAGAAATCTTTGCTAGCTGGGTCGGAATCCAGAAAAGTAGTCAAACTATATAGATGGATTATAAATCCAACTACTGAGTACTGACCAGTTACTGTACTATGTTCAACTTCTATGGACCCATATTTTTTGGGAATTTTCGGGCTTCTGGAGAAAAATGGGGATTTAAAATATGTGAATCGACTTTGGATTCTCTTGTGTGGCAATGCTGCCGACGTCTATGTTTGTCGGTTCAGGATGGGCAACGATGTGAAGTTTCCCAACGAATCCACCATGTTTGATATTGTTTGATGGTAAAATCAACCAGAGATATCCATATATATATATATCATATATCCAGAATTTATCCAGATATATCCAGAATTTATCCAGATATATCCAGATATATCCAGAATTTACCCAGATATATCCAGATATATGATGATAATCCAGCTATTTTCGGAACAAGTCGCCAGTTTTGCAAGGTGATCCTGGCCGGCCTCGTGGCCTTCACCTTCTACTTGGGCAGCTCCATGGGCTTTCGCAAGCGCCAGCACCGTCGGGACTTTCTGCTGGAGCTCAGCAGGTTGAGCTGGGCCAACGGAGCGGGCACCTTGGAAGCCATGGAAAGACCGGGAGTCATGGGAATATTATACAATATACCCTCTGGTTATTTAACATAGCCATGGAAAATCACCATTTTTAATAGGTAAACCCAGGTAAACCATCTATAAATGGGCCATCTATACCATGGCTATGTTAAATAACCAGAGGGTATATTGTATAATGTTGTATTTATATATATATATATCATAGATTATCATAGTGATACAATGGAATTATAATCAGGGCAAAACGGGCAAAACATAAAGATGTGGGCATGGGTCAAAACCTATGATATTACCATCATATGACTGGAATAACCATCCATTAACTAGCTACCTTCGGGTACTTAGGGAAGTCACTGCCATGAGAATGAGGATTTGAGGTTACCATGGGAATTGGGATTATATATTCAGACCCAGACATGGATGGAGATGGGTGGTTTAAGCAAGAAAGATCGAGATTTGATTTTGATCCCAGAAAATTTGATTGAAAGTTCATGAATGAATTGAAATGTCAACCAAACTAGCGATGTTGGGGTTGGGTCGATATATCTTCAGGACCATCGATTGTTGAGGTTTGGGATGGATAGCTGCCAAATGGTATGAACCCCAGAGCCTTGCAGAGGTTTGACTGTTTGACTACCATCTGGTTATTCAACATAGCCATGGTATAGATGGCCCATGTATAGATGGTTTACCTATTAAACATGGTGATTTTCCATGGCACACCGTCAAATAACCAAATGGTATATGGAAGTGTGAAAGCAATGAAGATGGGGATGAACCCAGAGTTGCCTTCAGTTGATCCCCATTGTCTCCATCAAAATATCGTATTCAAATTGCTGCTTGGTTGTATACCCCATTTTTCAGACACACCCAAGTTCAACAACAAATGAGGTTCTTACAACTGTTTTGCAACATACATGGGAACTTCATTTTGCAACAGATCGTTAAATGACCGTTTTTTGTATGGCCTTTCAGGGACGGATAAGCCTTTTTTGCCAGTTTCGATATGGTTTTTTGGGATCATCAGATCGCACTGAGTCGCACTGCAGCCGTGAGGTAAAAAGGTGGAGTTTCAGGGCACCGAGCCCACCTCGGTCTTGGAGGAGAATGGCGTTACACGACTCTTGTTGAGGCCATGGGATATTCATGGGATTGTGCGATCGAAGACCGTTAAGGTATTGGCTGTGTCTATTGGGTATACCGGTATACCTCTAAATATCCCTAAATGGCAATCTGCGGAAGGGAAAATGATTGTACTCCTTAATGGATTTGGGGAAACCATCGATTTTCAGACAAACCGATTCTGCCAATGTTGGAAGACAATTCCACCAAACATTCCCTGACCTGGTTGGTGTCCAATTGTTTCCCATGGTTCCTTCATGTTGTTCTTCATGTGTATTTTTTCAAGGTCCAACCTGGGACACGCCAGGGATTGGTGCAACGGCAGCTTCAAGACACAGTTTAATTTGAAGAGCCTCTTGGCCGCTGACAGGGGTTTATATTCCCTAAAATGGCAATGTTGATAGATATAATTATGTTTCATCAATGGAATTAGGGGTACCCTATTTTCAGACAGACCCAGATACCGTAAATCTGCAATACAGCAACCAACATATTTTTCCATTTTGGCGTGTTACATTAATGTGTATATATTATATATATATACATACAATTACATGTATTATATGATCTACTTTACTGGTACTGTACCTGGTAAGAACAATTGATATGACATGTGCGATCCCCTCCAGTGTAGATGGAGAGAGATAGAGAGAGAGAGAGAGCGCCTTCAGCTGTCTAAGGCTTTGACCATTGCCAGAGCCTGGCACAACTCGCAGATTTGGTGGTGTCGCTTGGCACGGTCACAGGTAGGTTGGCAAAAACGCCAGTTGTGTGGAGAGAAAGATGCAGAAATTAAATGAACATTAGTTGAAAATGGTTGTTCCTGTCAAGATTGGGTTGGTATTTACTGTGGAGAAATGGGTATGGATCAATACCTATTAATACCATTTTTAGTGGGATGAACATCCATAAATCCCAGCTATGACTTGAGGTTCACCAGGTACCACGGTTTTGACCCATCCCCACATGGGTGATGTTGACCACTCCCCTGCTGGAAGCCCCGAAAGAGGGCCCACTGGGCCCCGGAAATCCAGAGATCCAGAGGCAAAGTTCACCCAGCATCGAGACGGCGCCGCGGAGATATCGCTCGTGGCATTCCGCCTCTGGGATTTAAGATCTACCCTTTGGATCCCATTCCCATAGGATCCATGTATGGTATATATGCTAACATTTGGGGTATATTGATGGTAAATGTTACCATATATAGCATACATGGATCCTATGGGTTTGGATCCCATTGGTAAATTAACATATAGACCCTGAAAATGATCATGTTTTTAATCAATTTTTGATATGTTTGGTGGAAACTAGCCTTCCAACCCCTATCTGGCAGGGTCTATGTGAAAATTTACTGGAGGGCAAAAGTTGGGAAGATCGGTGGAAGATATGGGAATATGGAATGGGGTCAACCGCAAGTTGCGAAAGTGAATCATGGTGTCAATGGTGTCCACCAGTTATAATTCGGTGAGCATCCTTTTTTGGAAGTCGGTTTTCAACTGGTGAGGAGAGTTGAAGCAAAGGCTATGAAAAATATGTTTGCAGCTGACACATTCATGTCATTTCACTCCAACTTGAGTCTCAACAGGTTCAAACCGCCCTGCATCAAAGATGTTTGCAATGATTTCAATCAATGATGGCAGAAAAATACAATGGCCCTTTGTTTGTCCCTTAATGCCTTTCCCATCCTATCCCTTTGACTTTGGTTGGGGATATTGAAATCTGACGAAATCTGCTCAAAATCTCCAAAAATCAAGGTAGAAACCTTGTACGCTTTAACACCCTTTAAGTATGTATTGTTTAAGAGTCCAACCTTCCATTTTTCTCGACATGTTCGAAACCGTTTTGCGCCAGGAAAATCTCCATCCTTGTTGGTTTGAGGTTTTTTGATCCATCGAAATCCGATGGCTGATTGTATTGTAGCACCATATAACCATATTGGTTCCAACACGTTCCATCCCCCTGATACATTGGTTCATATTGGTTCAAAAAAATGGGTGAAGCCCATCCAAATAGTTGATACTAGTTGATCATCTCAATGGATGTTCCCTCAAAAATGGACGGTCCAAGCCGCCGCTTTTTTTTGGTCGCCCCACCGGTGGGATGACCGTTGACCACTGCGCCCAGGACGTCTATGGCAACTTCTTGGACCATGTGCCATCCGATAGCACCGACTACGACGCCTCGTGCATCTGCTACAAGTTGCCGGGCGCAGGGAATCTGCCGGAGATCGATGTGAGTAGCTGGCCCATGCCGGGAAGAAAAAGTGGTGCCGGGGCAGGCCTTTCTGGATTTTTGTGGAAGGGCAGTGATTTCAAAGGGGGATCGATGTGGGTTACTCCCTCTGGTAAACGTTTACATAACTATGGGAAATCACCATTTTAATGGGTAAATCAACTATAAATGGGCAATGTTCAATAGCTATGTTAGTTTACCAGAGGGTAATCTAAGGATGTTCAAAGGGTGTCTAAGATATTCTAACTAAGGTTACAGTACTTTTTCGCTTAGGATAGCTGAGGGCGAAATGCAGCCAACGGCTGGTTTTGTTGGAGATTATGTGCTGGTGTTTGCCACTTAACACTTGCAAGGTATCGTTTGAAGGTTGAAGATGACCCAGATGACGCAATAGTTTCCGGAAGAAATGCTGACACGTTACTTTAAGTTTTATCTACGTAGCTTCTGTGAGCCCTAGGTTTGAAATTTGCACCATATCCATCCATTTCCAACTATTGTAACTATTCAATCATATACTTGATTCATTCCCACTGCAGCCCAAAAACCAAGGGAGGGGCCTGTTGTGAGCGGCAGAAAATTGCATTCTTTTTCGTAAATCCTAAATAAAATTAATCCAGATATGAACAGATTGCACTTTAAAACCCCTACTTTCCACCCAACTATGTACAAAACAATGCCAACAAACCAGAAGGTCAGGTGTTTATTGAGGAGCTCTTGGATGTAATCTAGTTCCATGCAATCCCCATTGTTTAAGAGTCACCTTGTGGATTGTGTTGCCCTTATTGAATGCAATGTATTAGATGCATCAGAGTCAGAAGGTAATGGTAAAGGATCATTTTAAATACACACAATTCAGGAAGAAATATGTTGAAATATATATATATATATATTTGCACGTTATCACCATTGACATAGTTGCATGAACCTTTCCGCTATCCCTTGCAAAATATCACGTGTGTTTCTCCAAAATGCAGGATTTCCCTCGAAGTACAGCCTTCCTTTGCAGGGGATATATGTTTCTGTAGTATGTAGCATGAATTAACACATTGAATTCCTGTTCTAGATGTAATATTAAAATATATTAAATACAACAATGAAGCCTCCCCTGCTTGCAAAGAAGCTTTTGTCATTCTTTTGCAATTGTCCTTTGATAAAATTAAATGTTTTTTTCAACACGCAATACCCCTACAAATTATGGAGGCATCCTTTAAAAGATGCAGCATTCCTTTTGAAAAAGGGCACTTTCTTCCAAATGATAGGCAATAATCCTGCACCATATAAATCAGAGAACCAAATCAGCAGGGCTTCCAGCGTAGCAGGGCTATGGGTGGTGAAACACACTTTTTCCACCCGAGCACTGATACAAAACAAGAAATAGCCGTTATGTGCGAAAGTACTTGTCCCGTGTTCATGGCAGATGCCCATTTATAATTAGAGCGGGAAAAACAAATCTTGCTTCCCTTAGGCTCACTTTTCTGCTTAGTTTCAACTTTTTTAGAATGTGTAGAATGAGAAGAGGCCTCGGACGGTGCAAGGTAAATGATGGTGGACACAACGTTTGGGGGGTCATTAGGCCACCGTCGTCCGCGGGCGTCTTCGAGTCGGCTATGAGCCAGCTAGTTTTTGGCATTGTTCCCGACAGAAGTGGACACAGAAGACAGCGCGGCAAGCTCAGCAGTATATAAATGTATATGTTCATTGATCATGTGGTTGTCCGTGTGTGAGACCCTGAAAAGGTTTTTAATTTTTATCTTTCTAGGTGCTGGGAGACAGGCTTTATTTCTTGCCATCAGCATGTGACGATTTCTTCTTTTGAAAGATTCTTCTTCTCCCGGTGAAAGAATTCCTCCTTCCCGGCGCCGGGTTGGGAGGATTCTCTTTTTCCCGGCGCCGGGTCTCGCTCCCGGCGCCGGGTCTCCCTCCCGGCGCCGGCTCTCCTCCCGGCGCCGGCTGAAGCCTTCCTCCTTTCCCAGTGCGGGGTGGAAGCTTTCTTCTCTTGCTTGCAGAAAAACCAGCAACCGCGGCGACATACAGTATGTTTGTTGCTGAGCTCAAGGCGTCAAAGTCTTCATTCCCTTCTAACAGCGCCAGGGTGACGAGGAGAGCGCTTCGATTCAACAATGACACCCGGATACTCGAAATTCAAGGCGCAGATCAGCTTTAGCGTGGAGAGATGTATTTCGGCCATGAGATGGAGGATAATTAAGGAACAGCAACGCTGCTGACTGTTGCTAGCTTTCCGCTTCCGCGCCTACACACCCGCCCTTTAGGTTTCTACGGAGCCTCCTGCTATGTCGCCTACCCTGCCATTTTGAAAATGTATGTATGTATATCTGGTAAGAGGCATGTACGCTTTTAAATATTCCCTCACAGTCGCACCTGCACCAAGACGGGGATGAAATAAATTCCGGCCATTGCAGGCACCAGGCGCCAATTTTCAGTGCAAAATGTCATTTTTGAAAACGTACGAAATCACCTCGCACAGCCCCGATGGCTTGGCTCCACCCACTGCCCCGCTCAAAGGGCTAGCGGCGGCCTTCCTGCGAATGCCCCGTTCAAGCTCCTTACTCGTACAAGATTCAAATCTTCCTCCCAAAGCCCCGAACGAACCATTTCCACCCAAAGCCCCGATGAAACCATTCCACCCAAAGCCCCGATGAAAAATTACACGCAAAAACAGTTAAAAAAAAACAGCAAAAAAAAAGTTTTTTTCTCGTTTCTGGAAAGGGCCTAGGTGCTTCCCAAGTCTCAGCTGAAGGACCCGCAGCAAGGACTTGCTTGAAAACCCCAAAAGGTTGAATGGCGGCATGAAGCAATCTTGAATACTACTTCTACTACATCGGCACTAATGCAAGCCTAAAAGGCTTGAGGTCATGGTGTTTTCCTCATTCCATCCGGTTCTGCTTCTTGCATCAACGCGTCTGCCAGGCATATATGGAAGCAATGCAGAAACAGACTCTGGTCCCTGTTCTGTTCCCGTTTGAGACATGCAAAGTTCAAGGTCCATCGTAGCAATGCTCTTTTTCAACCAGCGTTGTGCAAAGCTTTGGCACCCAAGCCGCTGCTCCTGTTTGCTCTTTGCTGTAGCCTCTGCCTTTCTAGGGCTGGCCTGTTTTAATTTCCCGCTTAGCAGGCTTAGCAAATGAAAATGGAATTGGTAGTGTTCTGCAAGCCGTGCTTGAAACAGCTACAGGACTGAGCATGAGGGTTGAATGAGAGGGCATTGCTGCAGCTTGCTGCTCCCAGTGGCTCGGGCGTGCCTTGACGGCAAGCTTCCCCAAGTTGAGAGCTTTCCCCATGAAGGCAAGGATTCGAACGCCCGTGGTGAGTTGCCATCTTGACGAAGGCAACTGCCGCTAATGCTCTAGGTGTTGCCTGCGTTAGCCTTCTCCGCGGCGTGCCCAGCGCGGGGTCGACTGTGAAATATGGCAAAGGGCGTTTCGCACGCTACTGGCCTGGTTCTCGTCGCAGGAATTCAAGGCAACATTGCGAAAGAATCAGGTGGCCACTGAGATCAGGTTGTACATACGGCTTCATACATGTTGATTTTCACAGGTACATGCTGTTGAAGTAGCCCCCCAAGGACAAGAAGTGCCCAAGCGAAGGCTAAGGATTTGCTAGTGCTCAATTGCATGGGTCTGTCCTGTATTGGCCATTGCTTGTCATAAAACAAACTTAATTACATTGCAATAGCAGAGGTTGTGGTTGAACCAAACTACATGGGGTCTTGAAATGTGTTCCGGCAGAAGATTCAGTGAACGTTTGCAATGCTATTTAATCAGAAATATCTGTTCAATGTAGCTAGGTGGAAACCCCCCCCAAGCCCCGCTCCACCCAGTGCCCTGCAAATTCTTTCCTCCAAATAAAGCGTGTGTTTTAGCTTGCAGCCAATGTTTTAGGCAGAATCTATGTCAAAAAGTGCAACGCATCAGCACAATATTCCCTGAAAATCCTGTGAGGATGACTATATTGCTTACAGATGGCAGTTACTCTATCAGACAATATGGCATTCTGTGGATCAAAGAAGCATGTTCCAGCAAAAATAGAAGATAATTTTCTTGACGCATCTAGTATTCCTATTGGACAGGTTCAGTCTTCCTTGTTTGTTATATTCTTAAGACCAGCTCTTTCTCTAAAGGAAACATTTCTTTTATCGGATATGAAAGAAGTGTGCATTCTTCTTAATCAATTGCGTCCATCATTTTGCAGAGGGTACTCCCCAAAATAATGCCTGATTCCAAAGGAATTCCATATCATGTCAGAAAGAGTGCTGCATATGCAAAAGGATTATATTTTGGAATAAAGTGCCATTGTCTGAAGAAAATATTGTATCTCACTCAGGGAGGTTATGTTATTTGAAGAACAAAGAAGATGTTTTACACATTCTTCAAGAAATACCATACTCTTTTGATAAAGGGACCCTTGATAAAAGGACCATTATATACACAAAAGAACCCCATCTTGAAATTTGAAATTAGGGTTTAATGTTTGAGGAGATGTTGCACCTTTTTCAAAGAGATGATGCATTTTTTTGAAGGGACATATTCCAGATAGTTAAGACAAGTTCTCTTCAAAGAATGCCATGATCACTAGAACGGATCACCGCATATATAAATGAAACTGAATTTGAAGTGGTGTTGGAATCTGTCAGTAGCAGGCTCCATGCTTTCTATGCAATCCTGTATGTGTTGAAGGTCTTTTTCAACATATTACTGCACTCTTTTCAAACAGAAATTGCAGTACTTCAAAGGGAATGCGCAAAGTCAGGCGGCACTCTCTTTATGGAATATCACGTTCTTACAAAAATGCGACTTGGATTCATAGATGTTGGGTGCTTGTATACAACAAAATGCTGAACCCATATCCTAAGTGCACTTTGTTTGCTTTATTTTGGTTCAATTGTTGCTGCATTTTTTGAAAAGTGCCAAACCCTTCAGAAAGCTAGATGAAATACAAAATTGCTCTCTGAGCATCTGATTTTATCAAAATGTGGAGAAAAGAAGGCCAGAACTAAGTGCCGGAGTCATGAAGTAGAAGGTTCTGATCTGGATTAATCAGGATTAATCCAGATTAATGAGGATCAGACCAAAACCGCGAGAAAACCCAAAAAACAAACAAACAAACAAAAAAAGGTTTGGCAACTAGTCCAGAGGTCAGAGTACAGTTATTGTGGACACTTTTGTTTTTTCGTTTTTTTAATCATGATTGATTAATCAGGATTAATCAGGATTAATCTTAAGCGACTAACTTAAGTGGAAGTGAGACAGAACATAGTGTTGCAGTGACAAACACATGGTTTTGTGAAGAGACGTGTGGTAGCCGACAGTGAGAACGGACTGTTTGACCCTACATATGGAACGAATTGTTGTTGTGGATTTATTCATTGAATGTCTACCCTACCCCAAAAGCTTGAAATTCACCGCTCACAACAGGCCTTTCCGAAAACCAATGGTGCATCATCATCAGCAGCAGCAGCATCATCAGCAGCAGCATCATCAGCATCAGCATCATCATTTTCCTAATCGTCGCAAGTAAAATTGCCATTTGTGTGGATGTAATGTAAATCCACATTTCTTGAGAATTACATTATTGAGTATCATATATTATCATATATTATCATATATTATCATATATTATCATATACTATCATATATTATCATATATTATCATATATTATCATATACTATCATATATTATCATATATTATATATTATGATATATTACCATAAATAATTTTTATGATATAAGATATTTTATCATATGACTATTACTAAACCATACTAAATCACTTTATGTGTCATGATCACTCCTCATTTATTCATACAAAATCCCCATTATAGCCGTGCCCAAGCCTCCCTAGCGTGCCGGCTTTTTTCGGCGTGCCAGCGTGCCACGGCGACTCGACGTTCCCAGGAGCCTCTGAGTTCAGAGCCTGATGGAGTGGTGATCGAGGAAAGCCACATGGAGGTAATGGAGGTTGGCTCCGGCTGCTGTACCCTCTAGTGCTGGAAACCCAATATTTTGTTTGGTTCATAGTGGCTCAATACCAGTTCAAGTTCATAATGGTTTATAGTGGTAAATCGTGTTGAATAGTGGTGCATCATGGTTTATAGTGGTTAACAGTGGATATTGACAACAATAATGTCGGAAAGCCAATGCCATACTACCATGACTGGGGATTGTTCAAAATGGCACCTGTAAAAATGGTGATGACTTGGGGATGGTTTATGACATTGGATTTCACATTAAACTGTTTTGTTTGTTAATTTTTTTTTGGCACTTAATCCTTTTTAACCTTTTTCGTAGGTAAGTCATCTATAAATGGGCAATTCTTCATAGCTATGCTAGTGTACTGGAGGTTTATTTAGGATTTCACCATCAAAATCATTGGTTTTAATGGGGATTCAATGGGGATTTTCCACGATTTAGTTAAACATGTTCCCACTAAAAGTGAGGATTTAATGAGATTTAACCACTCAAAATGGGGATTTAATATGGTGCCTGTAACATGTCCCTTCAAGGAATTCTGGGAGTTACTTTGGGGTTCAATATATAATATGTGAAACTGGGTGATATGCTGATTACCCTCTTAGGAATTGGCACATCCAAAGTATAATTAGTGAATATCATCGCATAATTGGTCAGGGCCCTTGTATTGTGAATATACACATAGTTTCTGCCTATGTCATGCTGCATATATATATATACACACAATATGACTGTATACGCTACATACAGACAGAGCATGATCAAAATATGTGTATATATGATCATATTATGAGTATACGTGTATGATGAATATACAAATACACAGACGTGTGCGTATTTTACACCTGAGTCGTCCCCATGGGATTAACGCTTGCAGGTGGCCTGCGAGCCAACTATGCCCACTGAGCATGTCTTGGATGTGGCGTTCAGAGCTCAGCGCTGCGAGTTGGTGAAAACAACGTTTCTGGGGCCGAACAACTCATTTGTAGATCATGTTCCAAACGGGAAACCGTGGGTTGTCATGGGTTTTCCATAGTTTTTTGTATGTTTACTGTTTACAACACATAGTTTACCCTACTAACCCGAAACTGGTTGGTTGGTTGGTGGTTTGGTGTTTTAATGTTCAACCTCATTACTTAGGATGGTGATTCCACCTACCGTAAGTTCTTTGGAGGCCAAGCCACCAACCAGGAAACAACGGGGATGAATTGCTGCTTGAAAATTACTCCCCCCTCCTTGAATAGTGATTCACATGTTTTGCTCCTCTTCCGGCATACTGGTATGATATTTGTAGGTAGTATGCCCATTGTCTTCAAAAGGCCACCCAAATCTGATCCACCAGCAAGGTCACCCATGCGCGGGCCAACGTTGGGGCTGCCAAGATGAAGGAACTTGAAACTGGACCTTTGAACTTTGCTGAACTTTGCTATGAGTCTCTATATTCATCTACAGTATATTCCAGAGTCCAGAGTATGATTTCAGAAACATTCAGAAACTGGATTTCGAGGTCTTCTAGCCTTGGTGTGGGTATCATTGAGACGGCTGAAAGGCGGCGGCAAAAGGGACGGTTAAACGGAAGTTCTGGGGAAGTCCATGTGAATCACATGGGGATTCAACGGAAATTGTGAGCCGTGACGAAGCCTCGAAGGGCTTGAGATGTTTGTTGTTTTCGTATTTTAGGTCCGAAAATCAACTTGTTGTTTGGTCCGAAAAGTGGTGACTGAGTCCCCAATTCTTGGCATAGATTAATATAGAAAAGCTAAAATGATAATCAACCATGAGATGTTTGAGGCCGCTATAATTGGGACTATAAAATTCATGAAAATCACCCCTCAGCAGAGTGCTCAGATTGTGGGTCGAGTCTTTTGCAGTTTTGCTGGTCATCTTGGCTTTTCTGAGAATAAAAGATAGAATGTGAGAATAGAATGCCAGAAAGAATGTCAGAATATATGCCAGAAAGTGTATTAGAATAGATACCAGATAGAATGTCAGTTGTCGAGTGTCAGAGTATATGCCATGTCAGGAATGTTTTTGGTCAGAATATATGTGCCTACCCTCTGGTTATTTAACATAGCCGTGGTATAGATGGCCCATTTATAGATGGTTTACCTATTAAAAATGGTGATTTTCCATGGCTATGTTCAATAACCAGATGGTAATTCCAGATGATATGTCAGTGTGTCGTGTGTCAGGCTTGGGATCACCTGAAGTACCCTGGTAATGACTAACAGTTTGCTGTTGAAAGTGGACCATAGAAATATTTGATTTACCTATTAAAAATGGACTACATAACAGTTTGCTATTAGAAATGAAACATTGATTTACCTATTAAAGATGGTGATTGTCCATAGTTATGTGAACGTTTACCAGAGGGTAAGCATTGTCAATCATTATTAGCCAGCCATTCATAATTAACCAATATTAAATTAATAGTATATTGTCAACCATAATCAATTAACCATCACTAATTGACCATGCTTAATCAGTATGTTTTTTATATAAACAATTGTTAACCATTTTTCAATTAGCCAATATTTATCATGATTAACCACTAAATTAATATGGGTATGGGTCAATACCTATTAATACCATTTTTAGGGGAATGAACATCCATAAATCCCAGCTATTTTGATGTGAACTACAGGGGTACTATTGGTTTTGACACACTGCCATATGGGTGATGTTGACCACACAATTTTTCAATTAGCCAATATTTAACCACTAAATTAATATATGATCAGCATTTATTTGCCATCACTATTTGACCCGCTGCCTGGAGTCTCCAGCTGCAACGACCTGAGGCAGCGCGAGCTGCGGGAACTGCGAGGCCTGCGGGAGCGACGTCGATCATCGACTCCGCCGGCGCAGGCGAAGGGTCATCGAAAATTGAGCCACTCAAGAAATGGGAATAACTCATGGGAATACACCGGGAATATATATATATATATATACATATATATATACCTGGTAAGCACTGGGGGTTGTATTTTCAAGTCCGTTCTGGAAAAGTTGACTTTTTGATAGGTGGATTGAAAAGAATCTATAATGGGAATATAAGGGGAATCATTCATTGATAGATGATATTTGATTGGTTATGAAATAGGGAATTATACCACCTGGGTTATTGGGGAACATTTACAACCTATGGCCCTATGGTACGGAAACCTATTCAGGAACTAGTATAATGAAATGGGATAGGGGTATTTTGATCGGTTCAATTGAGGAAGAGACCACCTCATGTCAGTGGGATCCAAGCATTTTTTCAAAAAAAACTGGACCCATGTCAGGGGAATAGCTAATACATCTATGTGTTTGATTATCCAAGTATGTTACCATAACAAATCCAGCAATCTAGCAATACAGAATATGAATTTGATAAATAACGCATAAAATTATCGAAAAAATAGATTGGGATCCCGAAAAAATCTGGAGGACCAACAGAAATGATGCTTAAATCACCATAAAAAATCTAAATATATATATATATATATAAATAATATATATATATATATATATATACTATATATATAATATAAATCTTAATACCAAAGATGTTTAAAACCTAGCAGATGTTCTCGGCGAAACGAGTTCTGTTTGTGCGGTGTTTGTGCGTAGGGGTGGGGTGATTGGTCGCACAGGTGCGCCCTGAGATGGAGAGTCAGGTGCGCCCTGGCCCAGGTTCTGGGATCACAACGGGAACTGCGAAATATCTTGATCAATATGGAAAATCTATGGCAAATATATGGGAATATAATGGAATATACGTGTATGTATAATGCGATATATACATTTATACATATATGTATATATAATTATATAATATATATATATAATATATATAATATATATATTTATGTGAATTTATATGTGATATATGTGAATCTTCTGCAAGATATGGGAATATATGGGGAAATCTCGAGGTTTAGTGGGAAGGTATAGGAAGATCATCAATAAATGCGAAAAACAACACACGGAATTTGCGTGAGTTTGCTAGTGTATGCTAGTGTCAGGTTTGATTATTGGAGGGAAAGCCATTTTGACCCAGCCTTGGTACCACCAGATAGATGGGTCAAGTAGGTGCGCCAAATCGTTGGTTACAGCAAATCCGAATCCTGGTTGATTGCCCCCATTGATTTCCGTAGCACCCCTGAATTCCATATGGCCTATCATTGACCCACTTTAACTTGCCATAAAGCGGGGACCCCTCCAATTCTTGCACACACCCAAATACTGTATCATGTTATCCACCCTGAACTATCTCATCCAGATTTCACTAGATTCAATCAGGTTTCATGTATCTCATAATATAAACCTATATATTAGTGGGTGCGTGGGCCTCTTTATGGGCTGCCAGCACTGGTCCAGAACTATATAGGCTATGTATATATATATACACATCTAAACCACTAGATTAAATCAGGTTTCATGTAGAGTTCATGTATCTCAATATAAACATATAAATAAACATATAAATAAATCTATATAAATCTATATAAATCTATATAAATCTATATAAACCCATCATTTCAGATGCTTCAAACCACATAACTCCCATTGTTTTCCCCAGCGCTGCTGCCGCAGGTCCTGGCGAAGCTGAACAGCTGCAGCCACGCCGAACTCACGGAGCTGAAGTTCGTGGGACCGGTGACCCCGGTGACCAATGGGATGGACGGATGATATGGGATGTACCCGATGTACCCGGCCTGGTGAACTAACATTTTGCAATGGAAAATGGCCATTTTGAATGGGAAAACCCAGGTAAACCATCTATTTCTATGGGCCATCTATACCATGGCTATGTTAAAGGTAAACTAACATTTTGCAATGGAAAGATCCACCATGCTATTAATGGGAAAATCCACTATTTCGACTGGGCCATTTTCAATTGCTATGTTAAATTACTAGAGGGTATTTGTGATTCATAGTGGTTCATAGAGGTTCTGGTTGGTTGGAACATAACATGATTTTTTTTTAAGACTTTGCATTCAGTTGCGGAATGTCATAAGCCTCAGATTGTTCAGAGGGGTTGAAACCACCAACCGTGTTAATAGATAGATGTTTTTTATGGATAGATAGATAGTTGTTATGATATGGTTACTGTTGATAATTATATTAACAGTGGTTCATAGAGGTTGATAGATGTTAATAGATATTCATAGATGTTAATAGATGCTTAATAGTGGTTAATAGTGGTTAACAGTTGTATTGCTTACCGTAGGTAACTATAGTGGAACGCCAAGGAATCGCAAAGAAATATGGTAAACCCCATAGTTCCAGCTCTATTTTCCAATGTTGGGATGATATGGAGTATAACATACCAATAATCATGGGGTAAAATATGGATTAATGGTGATCGATAGTGGCCAATGAAATGGATAATTATAATAATCAATCACTATTAATAGCCACTATCAATCATTAAACATTATAGATATGATAGTGGCTAATGGATAACTAATAGTGATTATTTGATAATATGTAGTTAAAAGTTATAATAATAAGGATAATTTTGGATAATGATGGCTAATCCTGATCAACAATGGTTACTCTCCGGCAATGAAACAGCTGGGGAATCCCCGATTTTAAATGGAGGTTTATAGCTGGGAAAATCAAGGATAAATCGATTGATTGCCAGAGGTTAAAACCAATTACTGGTGTCGAAAAGCAGAGGAAGTGCCACTATCCTTTGTAACAAAGTTGCCCCCTGCAACCATGCATGAAGCTCTACAGTAGATGCACCACCTTGAGTTTGATGCTTTGGGAAGGAGCATGGATAGACTGCTGTAGTTGGCCTTGAGTTCAGAGATCCATATCATTACGGTGGACATCAAGCTGCCGTAGTCAACAATCAGCCTGCCATCACTGCAGTAGCAGTCAACTTACCAACAGTGGAGACATTATCCTGCAATCATTCACCATCATTTGTCATGATGAACTATCAACCTGCCATATCAAGGCCAACCAACACTCAAGATTTACCATAAGTTTGCCATCATTAAGCAACCTACGACCATCAACCATTAAGCTACATATATAGTAGATGTCGTCAGGATTGGCGATGTGTGCTTTGTGTTAAGTTTTTGTGGTTTATTTCACCCAAGAAAAAGGATGTAGATGATGTAGCACCAAAAAATACGTACCCCAGAACATCCTCCAGAAGGAAGGTCGCTCATCCATTAACTACTATTATCCATTATTAACCCCTTTATTTATATATTATGAACCACTCTCATAGTGGTCAACTATTATGGTCAGCAAGAAACACCTCCCACCGGTAACCCAGGTCATGGTCAACAAGATCCTCATCCAGCGACGAAAAGGCGTGCCAAATGTCGCAGATGTGATGTCTGAAGTTTGGATTTGGTGTTTGTAGTGATTAATGATTGATTATGATAAACAATGGTTAATAATGGTTACTAATGGTCAATCATGGTTAACAATGGTTAATAGTAGTTAATCATAGTTAATTATGATTAATAATGGTTAATAGTAGTTAATCATGGTTGATAATGATTAACAATGGTTAATAATGGTTACTAATGGGTAATCATGGTTAACAATGGTTAATAGTAGTTAATCATAGTTAATTATGATTAACCATGGTTAATTAATAGTTGTTAATTATGGTTAATTATGATTAACAATGGTTAATTAATGGTGGTTAATCATGCTAATTATGATTAACAATGGTTACTTAATAGTGGTTAATCATTGTTAATTATGATTAAGAATGGTTAACAGTGGTTAATCATGGTTAATAGTGGTTAAGCATGATAAATAATGGTTAATTTATGGTTAACAGGTGTTAACATATACTGATTAAGCATCGTCAATTAGTGATGGTTAATTAATTGTGGTTGATAATATAGTAATTTGATAATGGCTTACTAATAATGATTGATAATGCTTACCCTTTGGTAATTAAACATGGCAATGGGAAAACCGCCTTTTTTTTGTGGAGCTTTAGTTCGCTGGGAACATCTGGCAAAATCATCGAACTCAATGGGGGCCGTTCCAGCACGCCAAGGTTGACTACTGGAGGGTAACTTGGTTTTTACGATTATTTTACCGCAAAAAAAAAACCCATGATATTTCAGGTTTTTCTGTATTTCAGGAGGATTGGCCATGTATTTACCCCACTTACTGATCGTCCACCCCATTTTCAGGGATCATTATAGGATCATTATAGGATCAGTCCAGTGTAATTTCATGGCAAGAAATGGTTGTGGCAGTTTTGAGGAGTGTAAATGATGGTAGTCACAAGTTCAGCTGTGCTTCAAGTGGTCGCAAAGAGTGAAACATTGCTTAAATGCTTATTTTAATCAAGATTTATATATGTCAGGGGTGCTCAATTTGCTTGCTGGTTTCAATGATTTGAGCAGTTTTAGATTGTCCATCGTTGTCCATCATTGTCCATCATTGTCCATCTTGTTTTTGTTCCAAAATATTATGCTAGATATTGCTAGATTAACAATGGGATATGTTTTTTCTCTTAAATCCCGGAATGGAATGGTTTATACATGGCTCTACTCCTCCAAAATGTGCATTTTCATGGGGACAATCATGATAAACTAGAAGCTTGTGCGGTAGCCTATATAGTTTCAGACAAACCAATATATAATACTATAGACATAATCGTTTCATGGGCAGAAACTCATATATACTCTGTAAACATGGGGCTGCCGCAACATTAGAGAGAATCATAACATTGTTACTCAGGAAAACAATATGCAAATGTATACAAATAATCGATTTGTTCACATCTAGAAACAATGTGATATACATATATATATACCTAGAGACTCATGTATCCAAAATTTCGGGCGCATTCCCAACCTACAAAAAAATCAGGCGCAAGTCCACAAGAATGGCGCAATGTAGAAAACATGGCGCAATTCCACAAAAACGGCGCAATGGAAATTCTGCACGGGCAAGGACGGCGCAATCACGGGCAAAAACGGTGCAATCATTGGCAAAAACGGCGCATTCCAACACCAAAATCTAAAACCATATTTGTTTCCCAAAGAACGGCGCATGCCAGAAATTTCAGCGGCAATCAGATGAAACACTGTTTTGCTAGACCAGCATCAAAATTTTGATGCCGCTCGAGTCTCTAGGTATATATATAAAGGCTTAAGGTTGGGGCGCCCCTCGTTTCCCTTCCTATCCACAGCCTTAGCGGGTCACACGCCGGCGGACCCGCGGGCACATTGCTGTGCCTTGCAACGGCTTTTGTCTTCCTGCACTACCACCAGGTGATCAAGATCGACTTGGGCTGGGTGCTTGGTGGTGCATGGTCTTCGCCATACTGATCATCTACGTGATCCTCCTGGTCAAGGGCAATTACCCCATCAACCAAGAGACGCCAGCGCCGAGCCAGGGCCAACGCGAGACAGCTTTGGCATCAGCACAGATCAGGTGCCAGACACTTGGGGGCCTTGGAACTTCGGAGAGTTTTTGGCTTACTGCGACATCACCATTCCAGAGACGTACACTTCCTGGACAAGATCGTAGCAGAAATGGCGCAATCAGCGGTGGACTGGCGATGTTCAGCCTGTTGGAGGACGAACAAGGCCTTCACCCAGAAATGTGCGCGTTGTGGCATCAAGTGGACACATGGATGCGACCCCACTTACACGCCCCAGAAGGCGCCACCAGGGGCACCCAAGAGTCCACGTCGAGGCCAACAAGCATCTTCATGGAACTACTCTGGATGGGGAGCAGAGCAGACATGGGATACTTCAGCATGGCGACAAGATTATCAAGGTGGTCAGACGCCTCGCGGTCGACGACGTGGTCAGACGCCGAAAGGGGCATCTACGAAATCGAAGAAAGGGGGCCCCAAGAAGGAGCCATCCTACAAGGCGCCAGCTCCAGAACCACCATGGCATCCACAATATACTGGGGAAGCCCCAGCAGCCAGTGGAGGCGAAGAAGCTCACGCGGCCACGGAGAACCTTGTGTTGCTATCCAATGCGCTCAAGGAGGCGAACACTCCGATCCCGGCACAAGTTCAACACATTGTGGCCGAAAATTCCACCCCAGCGCCGCCTTCCAAGAGGTTGAAGCAGGCGGTGGACAAGATAGACAAGGCTCGCAAGAAGTTCCGAGACGCGCAGTCTGCGCGACAGAATCTCCATTCCAACTGGCGCAAATACATCGCAGATTCACTGGAAAGGTGGACGCAATTTGCGGAGAAGTTTGGAAAGGACGACCAAGAGCTTGCGGAAAAGGTGAAAGCTGCTCACGAAAAGCTTCAGGAGACCAAGGAGGCTGTCGAGACGGCGAAGCTCGCATTAGAGGAGCAAGATACAGAGACGGCGATCGAGATCACGGACGACGAGATGACCGACAAACTGGACTCCTCCGAAGTGATCCAGGCAAACATCTCAAAGATGGTCGAGAATCTGGCCAGTCTTCAGCAGAAGGCAGATGCAGCCTTGTTGGAGGCGGGAGAGGCCAGGCCGAAGCGACCGCGTCTAGAAGCCACCGAACAGCAGGCAGGTTCCAAAGATGGATCGGACTCTCGGTCCTTGGTGCCTTTTGCACCGCCCGGCAAGTAGACCTCACGGAGACTTGTCGAGGGCGAAACCTTGGCTCTCCCGCGGTTCTTTTGAACTGGAGCCATAGCATCCTCACCGATGCCAACTACATGAATCCCTGGCGTGCTTCCATTGAGGGGCTGGACTTGGCCTGGGAGATGGGTACTACATCATTGAATTTGAAGCCATCGTCGACGTCGACTACTTCCCTGCGACCGAAGAGAAGCAGGACTTTGTCGAGCGGGGTGCGCTTCAGTGATACTCAGGAGGTCTATGTGGGTGCAGCATCCTCCTTGAGTTTTCTTCGTTGGCATTTACCGCTCGGTCCATTAGCTGAGCATCAGAATCTTCAGGATTACATCAATGCACATGATCCTGAACAACAAGTCCATGACGAAGTTTCATGGATGGCCATGGGAGTGCATGCTCATGGAGGCGCACCTCAACCCTTTCTTGATCGTGATGATCACGCAGTCTTCGAGAATCCAGCAGCAGTTCATGATGACCGTGTTGAACTGGTGATCGAGGCGCAAGCAGACATCGACATGGATGAGCATGATGACGGCAGTTCTGAGAGTGGGTCGGACAGATCGACCAGCACAGAGCCTCGCAGATCAGTCCTCATCTACTCTATAGATGCAGACCCAACGCATTGCAGACCGCGCTGGGAGACCTACGAAAAACTGCACAGTGATTTGGCGCATCATATGAGACTGAGCAGTCACGATGTCACCATGTTCCACAGTGTTTCAGCTGTGCCAGAAGATTTGCAACTTGCAAGAGTGCATCCTTTTCTTTGCCAGAAGCCCCAGGACATTACGGAGGGTTCCACGTTTCAATTGGTGCTCTTGGACGTGGAATTTCATAATGCAATGCCTTCATTGGATCCGGAAGTAGTACGGCGGGTGAAGCTACTTCCTAAGACCATCTCCAGGAAGGTACTACTTGCTGTCCTGGGCCTACAACCGTATTGTAGGTATGCACGAAACATTTGCTTTGTCTGGCACAACAACCATTTACTTGGACCACAGCACAAGTCCCTCCTTGACATTCGTCATGGAGACTATGTACGAGTTGCAGTACCACCAGCTCGAGGAGTTTTGCGTCAGTACTACACTCGAGAAGTTGCACAATGTTTTCGCAGAGGATACACGGCCACCAACATACCGACTGTTCTTGAAAACTACCCAGCAGGGTTCGACGTGGCCGACATGCCCGTGATTGACACCTTTGCCTATGTCCCACGAGTGGAAGACTTGGACTATGATAGAGATGCCATGTCATTGTTCCAACTTCCAGGGCCAACATGCCCTGAATTTGACGCATGGCCCCCGTTTCTGCAGCGACCATGGCCCCCGTTTCTGCAGCGACCGATCGAGGCTTCTCCTTGGGAGTGCAAGGTAGCAGATGAGGATCGTCGTGAGGGGGACCTACCGGCTGCGAGCATTGAGCCTCCTGCAGAGCCAGACAGACCTGAGCTTGCTTTCGGCGAAATTGTTCATTTTCTACATGAGCTGCGTCAAGGCTGGGAACTACACGCAGCTGTTGAACAAGAAGAAGACGGCAGGGTCCTCTATGTCAACACGTGGTATTCTGATCATGAACGCTTTCCTGACTGTGAACAAATGCGACCAGTGCGATTACGTGCTGATACATGGAACTGGCCAGACCAAATTGCTGAAGCATGGGACGATCGAGTTGATCCAGATGCTGTTCTGGACTTTTTCCTCATCAGGCCCATTCCTAGAGCATCATGGCCTGGAAGCTCAGTTGTCCCTCATGTACTGATTGTGCAACATCCACGACCATCACGGAGGAGTGTTCACATCTATGCAATTGATGCAGGGGAAGGCATCACGACAGCGAGGTCCTTTGTCACCGTCGTTGATGACCGAGTGTCCAAGCCCTCCTTCTATGAAGTACTTGGCATTGAAACAGGGAGGATGGTCGAGAGCCTCATTGACTGCATGGTCTCTCATGGAGACACCGAGATCAATCACTATGAGCTATTTCATGTGCGTCATGGGTTTGGCTTCTTAGTCATCTTGAACCATCTACGAGACATCATTTCCAGGGCTGCATCGTCTTCGGCAAGTTCCACCGCGAGATCGTCAGGTTTACACCTTCTCCAAACAGCTGCCAGTCGTGTGACTCTCACACTTGAGGAGCAACTGCAAGACGATCTCGTTGAGGATGCAGGATCAAGGAGTTTTGAAGTGCTTCAAGTTCATTGGGCTGCGGAGCCTCAGCCACATCCCACGTACATTGAGGTCCCGCTGGGTGCAGACGATTCTGTAATTCAGCTTGAATTTCAGAAGTGGGGTTTGTTTTGCAAGCCAGTCGGCTGCAGAGAGCGAGGAAGAACAGTATGTCTGCCTCAGTCATCCTCCCCCCACGAGCTCTTGCACTATGTCTTTGTCAACATGGACCTGACCCACATGGAGCCGCTCTTCATGCACTCCTGCGTGCAGAACATGACGATGCATGAGATCATGGTACACCTGCACAAACTAGGTTTTTGGCGAGCCGTGGTTGTTCAACGAGATGAACCCTGGCCTGGCATTCACAAAGTTTGCTTCCAAGACCAACAAGTTGTCGTTTCGAAAGCTACAGGTAGAGCACGAGGGCAACCAGTTTGGCCAGCTCCGCAAATGGATTTTTCTGGCCTTCTCCCACATTATCATGGATGCCAAGCTTTCCCGAGCAAACAGCTCATTGATCTTGGCATCACCGAGCAGGATATCTTTGATCTCTTTGACTCACATCACAATCTTCTTCAAGTACCTGTTCCTGAGGATGCACCCGCAGAAATACGATCTGCAATTGACTCCTGTGATTCCGACATACCCTTGGAGGAATTGAATCGCCTGCTGATCTACACGGATGGATCATCTTTGAGCGGCCTCAAGCATCTTCCGCCTCAACGAGCAGAAGAGGAAGGGCTTGGCGACACTTGGGCCATGGTTGTACTGGGCGAGAGATATCAACCTCCGGGGCTGCGTTTCATTGGATGGAGCGCGCAACCCGTTATCTACGGGCAGGAGCACAATTTGCATCTGGGAGCGCAACGCCTAGGAGCCGACATTGCAGAGAAGGAAGGCTTGAGCTGGGCTGGACTTTGGCGGCTGAGCCAAAACTGGAGCATTCCTACTTGCTTTAGATCGGACTCCAGGATTGCGTTGGGACAAGCGTCTGGACAAACGGGGACCGCCCTGATTGACGAGACGTTCACCTTCCTACGTGGCATTTTTCAGGCCAATGAGTCAGCACTCGGACATCATGGAGTTGCTTACTCACACGTGCCAGGACATGCGGGTGAACCATGGAATGAATGTTGTGATTGGCTTGCGAAAAGGGAGCGTGAGAGGAGTTTTTACTGCCCCCGCCCCCAACTTGACATGGGGAAATGGAAGAAAGCTGTTGGACACCTGTGGATGGTCTTTGGATCGCATCCAGATTTGCCCACTTTTTGCGGCAATGGCTTGCATGCACCAACCCCGGCACTTCCTCCTGCCCGGGAACCTCCTTGTGGTGATCAAGGTGAAGCTGACAGTCACACCACTAGGAGGACTATGCAGTTTGCTTTGAGTGCGTGTTCAGCCAATGTCAACTCCTTGAGCCAGACTCCTGAAGGGCACGAAGGCAAAATTGGGTATCTCAGACAACAACTTCGTTCTCTGAGGTTGAACTTCTTGGGCATCCAGGAAGCGAGGACACAAGAAATTTGCACTTGCGTTGATCAGATCTATCGACTGGCTTCTGGCTGCGATGGTCGACACCAAGGAGTTGAATTGTGGATCGACCTCGCGCAGCCGTACGGATGGGTCCAAGGTCAAGCATGCTATTTTGAAAAAGGTGACTTTCAAATTGCATACAAAGATCCTCGTATTCTCCTGGTGCGTGTAGATACACCCTACTGGCATTGCTGGCTTTTGGTTGCATACGCACCTCAGAGTGGATTGCCCTGGACAACCCGCGAAACATGGTGGGGGCACCTTTCTGATGTTGTACGACGGCGGAATGAGAATGAGTCCATCCTTGTCATGATCGATGCGAATGCAGCACCGGGCAGCCCAGATGGACGCACAGTTCATGGCACAGATCATAGAACATCCTCCAGTACACCACTATTTCGAGGATTTGCAGAAGACCATGACCTATGTGCGCTGAACACCACACAGGCTCACCAGGGAACTGATAAGACCTGGACAGATCCTTCTGGAGAGCGTGCCTACTGCATTGACTATGTGTTAGCTTCGCAAGACTTGGCTGTGACGTGCGTTCTTTCACGTGTTGTACCTGAACTTGATTTGGGGCATGGCATGTGGGATCATGAAGCGGTTGCAGCCGAAATGTGTTGGAGGGCTAGTGTTCGCCAACATGCAAAACGGATGAAGAAGATCAAGAAGGTTGACCCAAGCAAGATCACGGCATCGATCTCTGCCGACATCCTTGAGTCTTATCAGCCAGCAGCCTGGGGCATAGATATTGAGTCGCATGTTGATGAGTTCAATGCACAAGTCGTGCATGGGCTACGTCTGAAATGTCACAAGACCCTTGATGGTCCAAAAAAGTCATACATTTCAGATGCACTATGGAAGTTGCGACATGACAAGCTGGAGCTCAAGGAACGGTTGAAAGGTGTTCGTCGACGCGGCCGAGAAGAAGGCCTTGTCACCATTTTCCGCAACTGGGCAAGTCTTCGACGTTTCCACAAGCCAGTTGAGGGAAGCCGCTTCTTTGAGTATGGGTCATTCCTGCTTTGCTCCAATGTTAAGTTGACGGCAGCTTTCCGCAACATCACTCAACAACTACGCGATGGACTCAAGACGGCTAGAAAGAAGCTCATTTGTCAGAAGTTTGAGGAGATGCACCCTGAAGCGTCTGCGGCCCAAATTCTGCACGAACTTCGGCCGATCTTGGGACCGACCAACCTCAAGAAGCAGAAGGTCAGCACGCTACCGTATGTCCGCAACAGCGACGGAGACATTTGCAGCCTCCCCAACGAAGCAGTTGCTGTC